CAAGCGGGACCACAACATGTGTCCTTCCCAGTTCATTTTATAGCAGCATGTTAGTTTGGACGGTAGAATGGAGTCTGTCCTAGACACAGAAGCCCTTGCATGAGCCCAAGAAGAGACCATTATTTTTGAAACGATGGACATAATGGTGTCCTGGAAAGGCATTCCAGAGGGATGGAGTCAAAGCAACTCCTCCAAAGCTCTTTGCATGAAACAGAAATGCTTGACGAGCACAGAAATGGGTGGAAATTCATGCTGAGATTGCCATCCTGAATAGCAGTAAGTAAGTGTTTGCTTTAAGAAGTTGTTTCTCAGGATGCCTGGGTGGCCCAGTCGGTTGAGCATCCAACTCTTGATTTTTGGTTCAGGTCATGATCCCAGGGTTGTGGGATCAAGCCCTGCATCAGGTTCTGCACTGAGTATGGAGCCTGCTTGAGATTCTCTCTCACCCCATCCCTCCCCCATCCCTTTCTCATGCTCACACTTTCTCTCTCTCTGTCTCTATAAAAAAAGAAAAAAGTTGTTTCCCATGTGTATTTTCCCTTCACTTAGATTCCACAGTGGAGCATTAATGGTGCTCACAAAAGCCAAATGTCATCATCTCCTTCCCGCTCCAACTTGCTTAAAAAAAAACTACTAGGCACTACCACCATTGTAAGCTATTGAATGAGCTACTTGTATAAATGGATTCAAGTCACTTATATAAGCACACTGTCGGGATTAAAACATATTTAGGTATATATTTTTCAATAAACACACCTTAAACAAAAGTTTGTAAATAAAGGAGTGACTGAACAAACGTTAAATTATGCTTGCTATAAATTACCAGGACTAAGCTAAGTCCTGGAGATAATAAATATCATAGTCCCCTTTCTCAGAGAGTCCATAGACTAGAGTTGACAAAAAGAAAGGAACTAAAACACAATGCGATAAATAATGTAGAAAGCACTGTGGGATAGGGTAGGACAGTCGCTTCACCCAACGGTAGAAGGGAGAAGGCTTCCTGCAGATTCCTGGGCTGAATGTTGACAAGTACCAAGAGTTAGCCAGGTGAAGGGCGTGGCAACAGGCAGTGGCCAATGTGAATGGTGGCAAGGTGAGGAAAGCAGCTATGGAAGAGGAGAGGCAAGAGACGTTCCTGAAGAGATAGGAAGGAGGAGAGCCAGGAAAGGCCTTGGATATTGTAGGTCAGGAAAAATTTCCTCTGACGTTCAAAGTCTTTTAGATGGACTAAGAATTAAATTGACAGGAGACAGATTAAGAGGAAAAAAAATCTAAAGTTTTATTTATGTGCACAGAGGCCCGGTAATGAATTCGAGGCCTCAATAAATAACGAAGGCAGGTAGTTTTTGTGCTTTTAAGCAGGGACAATACATTCGTGAGGAGTTACCAAGACAAAGAAAAGTTTGAGAGCTTCAATTAGGAAGGCATTTGAAACAGAATTTGGGCTGGGGAGTTTAATTAGTAAAATGTAACAAGGGTTGTTTATACAGACTTCTCAGCTCAAATTCCCACCTCTGGTGATAAGGATGTTTCTTTACCCTCTGGTACAGGTTGTGAGGGTACATTTCACGTGGAAGATTTATTTATTGTTTTCTGGAAGCAAGGGACGGTGGTGGTGATGTCAGAGTGTTCTTTTGCATTGGCTGGTCTCAAGTAACTTTTCCTTAAAATCGTCAGTGTGTCAAAGTGGTGCATTTTGGAACGGCTTCCCCTTGGCCACCACAAGAAGGAGTTCAGAACATGCCATCCCAACATGTACCACTGTGGAATAGTGATCATTTTGAGCTGAAGGTGCTTGAGAAACAGCAGATACAACGAGAGTTCTCTGAATTACCCCTTCCTTCCTAAAAAGTAGCCATATGGTTTCCTTTGAGGGGAGTGCCCTTTCTGTACCAGAAAGAGAAAAACACCCTCAGCCCCAGAAACTCGGAATCCATGCTGAAAAGGTCTTGACAAACTTACAAAAATAACCCTCATCATCTGCCAGTTCCTGTATCCCTACCCTGGATAGCCCCTAGTCACATCACCACACTTCCTGTCCCCAGCCCAAACCCTTTGTCTTCCCATTTCTTCACAAAGTTATCATTTCTTTGTGGAAAAGATTTAAATCTGCTTGCTTTGGTCACTTATTCAGGTCTTCATTCTCTCATAAAGGTACGGTGAACATGTGAAAATTTAATAAATCCTGTATGCATTTCTGTCTACTGAATGAATCTGTTTTATGTCACTTTGATTCCTAGGCCCAGCCAGAGACCCGAAGGGACGAGAATTTTTCCTCCCCTGCAGACTCCATGCTAGCAACTTGGACTTTAACTCGAAGATCAATTGGTGGCTATTATGTAGAAAGTGATGATCTAGTTTTGGAGTCGATAAGTAAATTATGCTGATATTGACCATTAGTACCTTTGTATATGGACTCAGACTCACATTAATTAGACTCAAATTCTGGAAACGGGAAGTATTATCAAAGTATCAAACATTAATGGAAGTCAGCTGACCAATTTCCAAAGCCATTTTCCATTATAGAGATGCTCAAGTAAATGAGTTTAATTACAGAATTTATGCCAAATATTCGTTAAATGAGCGAACATATGTGCTATTTCAACTGGTTAGGATTTTAATTTTAATCCTTAAAGTCCTTATTTTTAATTTAAGTCAATAAATATTTATAGGTGACTGCTATGGGCTGGATTCCATGCTAGGTACTAGGAAATACTGTAAGCAAAAATACCTACTGGGGCACCTGGGTGGCTCAGTTGGTAAAGCATCTGACTTCGGCTCAGGTCATGATCTCACAGTTGGTGAGTTCGAGCCCCATGTCAGGCTAGTGCCAATGCTCGGAGCCTGAGGCCAGCTTTAGATTCTGTATCTCCCTTTCTCTCTGCCCCTTCCCCGCTTGAACTCTGTCTCTGACTCTCTCACAAAAATAAATAAACATTAAAATAATACCTACAATCCAGTCCCTACCTTTAAGATAATTCAAGCCAGTGAGAAAGAACGACAATAATCAACTTATCACAGAAATTGACACACTTTCATGAGTGCTTCCGGAATGTCAAAGGAAAAGTTGTTTGAGTCTGGGGGAAGAGCATAGGCTGCCGTGAGAGAAGTAAGCTTAGCTGCGATCTGATAGCTGAATAGATCATCTTCTATGTGTTTGTGGATGGGGTTGTGGCTGAGAACCTTGAGGAACAACAACACAGGCTGCGCAGACAGCGAGGCTGGTGGAGAGTGGTATCTTAAAAGAACTAAAAGGACTAAAAAATTCCCAGAGGGTCTTTCTTTTTTTTTTTCTCTCTCTCTCTACAAACTTTAATATTATTTCTGGTTAGCTAACATACAGTGTACTATTAGTTTCAGGTGTAGAATTTAGTGGTTCAGTACTTCCATACAACACTGGGTGCTCATCACAGGTCCCTCCTTAATCCCCATCAGCTATTTAGCCCATCCCTCAGTCCACCTCCCCTCCACTGTCTTTCTGAGAGGCAAGACTGGACATTTTAAAATTTTCATTTTCTTTAAACAAGGGAAGCTGCTGAAGTGTTTATGCAGGGGGAATTCCTGATCAGATTTGTGTTTGTCAAGTATTCCTTCATCTGTCTGCTCTGAGACCTTGAGCGCAATGGGACAAAGTAGTAGCCCAGAGACTCAAGGGAATGCAAGGTATGCAAAGTCAAGAAGTGGAAGATATTTCCTCTAAGATTCCTAACCGGGAAGCAGATTTACCCTCAGACTGATTTACACTCAGAGGGCCTGGTGTTGGCCCTCTTTTGTATAATGTTCAGAGCTTTACCCCTCCTAGTTTTCAGTCTAGCTGTTTGGTATCATCTGGGAGCTGGTTGGAAATGTAATCTTAGATCTGACTCTGGAGTAATGAGTCAGGATTTGCATATCAAAGCCATCCTTGGGTTCTTTAATCCAGATAATCTGAGTAACACTGCTTTAGAGCAAAGCTTCTCAGATTTGGTTGCCCTGTAGCAACACCCAGCTAGTCTGAGGAATTATTGCCATCTAGTTCCCACCACCAGAGATTCAGTTGTCAAAATTATTTTCCCTGAATCTAATGATTTTTAACAACTTCCCAGGGATTTCTACTAGGCAGTCAAATGTAGGTAGAAGTAAAGAAGTGAGTTTAGATTTTCAGAAAGCTCTGCTTTATGGCAGTTCCCTGGTGTGCATCAGAATCACCTGGAGGGCTTTTTAAAACACGGATCTCTGGGCTCCACACCCAGAGTATTAAATATGAAATATATTGCATTTTGGCGTGGAAATGCTCAAAGCTGTACTTGAAGGAATAAAAAGTAGGTGGAACCTTTTATTAATTTCTGATCTTCCTTGAGAATCATGATTTTAACAGTATTAGAAACAGAAAATGCTGTGTGGTGACTCCGACACTATCAGCAGAGATGTTTACCAGCATGTGATTTGTTTGCACTGGTGAATGACATTATGAATTTTTGGGCAAAACTATGTATCATCTTCCGATGATTTATACAATCGCGTTTCTAGAAAGTCCAAATGCACATTAACTTGCAGGGATACTTGTAGGTAGAACTGATTTGGATGACGTTCACAATCTGAAAACAGATTTTCCACCAATATTCACGACCATTTCATGTAGAGCAGTGACATGCTTACAGTGAGCCTGCTTGACTTGGTCACTGTCAACCTCAGCCCTCATTCACCATGCAAAGCCACAGGGGGAAAGCGGGTTTCACATCTCTGTGGCCGGTGGCCACACCCTTATTGAGATCCAGTGGGTTAGTTGATGCCATGAGCTCATGGTTGTTGTGATTAGGTTATGGGTCTCGGACGACAGTCCACCTGAGGAAACCAAGTCAACCAGGAAGTCCTGGAAGTCTCCGCCCATTCCGTGGAGGGGCCGGAATATAAGGCCAGTTGCCTGATCTCGGACACTGTGCTGGTTGGAAGAGCTGAGCCAGGACACCGCTCTGGTCGCAGCGTCTCCGCAGCCCTCGCAGCAACCAGCGGCCGCCACCATGTCCTCGTCGGCTCTCAGGGTGGCCGTGGTGTGCATGAACAACATGAACCGGAGCATGGAAGCGCACAGTATCCTTCAGAAGAGAGGGTTCAGCGTGCGGTCCTTTGGAGCCGGATCTCGGGTGAAGCTCCCAGGACCCCCACACTGTCGTCGGCGTCCCGTGCGGTACGATTTCTCCACGACATACAGGCAGATGTATGACGACCTCTCCAGGAAAGACCGGGAATGCTACAGAGGCAACGGAGTTCTGCACATCTTGGAGAGGAACGAGAGAATCAAACCTCGGCCAGAAAGGTTTCAGGAGTGCAGCGACCCCTTCGACCTCATCTTCACCTGCGACGAGAGGGTCTACGACCGAGTGGTGCAAGAGCTGAATGCCCGGGAGCAGGTGACCTTCCAGCCTGTGCACGTGGTGAACGTGGACATCAAGGACACCTTGGAGGAGGCCGCCCTCGGGGCGTTCCTCATCTGCGAGCTGTGCCAGAACTTACAGCAGGCGAACGACATGGAAGACAGTCTGGATCAGTTGCTGCTGGCAGCGGAGGAGAAAACAGGAAAGAGCTTTCTTCACACGGTCTGCTTTTACTGACGGACACGGCTAGATTTGGTCCCTTGGTCGGTAAGAACTTGTGCGTGGGGTTTCGGATTAGTCCGTATTTACTGTGGGAAGTGGTGTTTCAATTTCCTTTCCAGGAACTTCTGTTTGTATGCTTTTTAGATATATACCACCGGAGAAGAGATATGAGCAAGACAAAGCATCTGTTGGGAGAGAAGGACAAGGCCTAAACGTCAAGGAAACAGTTCAGACTTGGGCATATGCTCTAGATACTTTGTGCACAAGAAGTAATTCAGCGCTCATGTGGGTCTTGAGGAAGTTACTGCGTTTTGCAGATGAACAAATCAAAGTTTTAATGGAGTGCTGGACAAGTGATTTGTTAAAGGATGTTCAGGGACCAAACCGTATTGTCTGGGCCATCCCTTTTTTCCCCAGCCTTCGTTCTGGAGGCTCTGGGGGAGAATTAATTTTGCTTTCTTTTCTAGCTTCTAGAAACCACCCATCCATGTTCTTTGGCTCCAGGTCCCCTTCTTCCCTCCTCAGAAACAGCCATGGCAAGTTGAATCGCTTCACATGACATCACTATTGCCTCCCTCTTTCACAGTTAAGAACCCTTGTGATTACATTGGGCTCACCCAGATACTTCAGGTTGATCTCCCAATTTGAAGGTCAGCGGTGTTGAAAAGAATGCCAGAGGCCCAGGGTGGTGTTGCAAGACTTAACTGAAGTTTCAAGTTCTCCAGGAGTATACTTGTAAATCAATGAGTCTGGGGCTTTGTAGTCAGCACCAGCGGGATAACCTGTTATATGGTTCTCTCCATCTCCCAAAGGAAGATGAGGTCACCTAAGAAGACCTCCTCCCATTCCCACTGAGGGAAGGGGACCTTGCCTGAAACAGTTGTTTCTTTTCTTTTGCTTCAAACTTCTTGCCTCACTGCCCTTCACATAAAAACCTTGCATTTTGTATAAGTCCTTGGAGCTCCCTTTTACTCTGTAGATGGGCTGTTACTTGATCCATGAATTGATTAATAAAGCCAGTTAGATCTTTACAGTTTACTGGTTTGACTTTTTGTTATTTAACAGTGAACTAGGAAACTTAATCCCATCTGTACCGTTTACTTTTAAAGTGTACTGTTTTCAGTATTATACTGAGGGTGTTGCCTCAGTTTAAATTAAAAAATACTTTTTTAATGTTTATTTCTTGAGACAGAGAGAAAGAGAGAGCATTTCGGGGAGGGGCAGAGAGAGAAGAATAGAGAATCCCAAGCTGACTTTTTGATGTCAGTACAGAGGTCCACGTAGGGCTTGATCTCAGGAAACTAGGTGATCATGAGGAGCCAAAACGAAGATTCAACAGATTAACTGAGAGCCACCTAGGTACCCCATATGGTATTTCTTTAAAACAATTTTCTTTTGTTCATTTTGTAGGGTATATCAATTAGAATTTTTTACTTTCATGAGAAAGATTATATTGCACTTTGAATTTATAAATGTATCTCTTCTCCAGGACACCTTAGTACAAAACCAACGTAGAAAATGGGCTCCATGTTGGGGGTGCCTGCATGGCTTAGTTGATTAAGCCTCAGACTCTTGGCTTTGGTCAAGTCATGTTCTCATGGTTTGTGAGTTCAAGCTCCATGACAGGCTCTGTGCTGTAAATAAGGGGCCTGATTGGGATTCTCTATCCTTTTCTCTCTCTGCCCTTCCCCTGATCTCTCTCTCAAAAATACATAAATAAAAACTTTAAAAAAATTAAAAAAAAGAAATGGGCTCTATATTATTACTAAAATCAATGAATTAATGATCTGTTTAATTAACAGCTTACTAAAGTAGATGAAATGAAATAAAAATAATTTTATTTTTTTATTTTATTTTTTTTCACAGTTTATTGTCAAGTTGGTTTCCAAATAACACCCAGTGCTCAACCCCAGAATTGCCTTCCTACAGGCCCATCACCCTCCTCCCCTCCACATCCATTAGTCCTCAGTTTGTTTCTCAGTATTCAAGAGTCTTTCATGGTTTGCCTCTCTCCTTTGCCCCCACCATTTCCCCCCTTCTTCTCCCCCATGGTCCTCCATTAAGTTCCTCCTAATCCTCCTATACGTGCAAACGTATATTTGTCCTTCTCTGCCTGACTTATTTCGCTAAGCATTACACCCTCAAGGTCCATCCATGTTGCTACACATGGCCAGATTTCATTCTTTCTCATTGCCATGTAGTATTCCATGGTATAGATAAACCACATCTTCTTGATCCATCTGTCCATTGATGGACACTTAGGCTCTTTCCATATTTTAGCTATTGTTGAGGGTGCTGCTATGAACATTGGGGTACATGTGATTCTATGCATCAGCATTTCTGTATCCCTTGGGTAAATTCCTAGTAGTGCTATTGCTGGGTCCTAATAGGGGAGTTCTAATGTTATTTTCCTGACGAACCTCCACACTGTTTTCCAGAGGGGCTGCATCAGTTTGCATTCCCACCAACAGTGTAGGAGGGTGCCCGTTTCTCCACATCCTCGCCAACATCTAGAGTTCTCTGATTGGCTC